GTGTGTGTGTGTGTGTGACGTATGAGGGTAGCGATGGTTGGTAGAAGCCGAGAAGGAAGAAGTGAGAACGGAATAAAACATGGGGTATGAGCCAGGCCACGTCTCCCATTCTTCATAGCGTCCCACAAGTCGACAGGATGGAGACCTGCCTGCCCTTCATCAGTCACTCATCATCGACGCAGTTCCCCAGAAGACACCCTGACATACATTGACTACCGAATCATCGCCTAGGAGGACAACGACCAGCACCATGACAGAACCATCGGCTGACCTCGACATCCCCAAGTACACCGGATCAGCGGACGACGGACCCGTACAGGACTGGTTCGACCTGTTCGAGTTCCACGCTACCGCTGCATCTTGGTCGGAACGGGAGATGGTTACGAACTTCAGCGACTACGTCACCGGTGAGGCATTTAAATTTTACCTCACCGACATATTCGACAACGACGAGTCTTGGCAAAAAATAAAAGAAGAAATGATCGTCTGGTTTCAAGACTCCAATGGAGATTCGATTAGAACACACGCTCTCAGTGCATTCGATCTCAGTCATCGCAGTCGTAAGCAGCCTTCACGCGTTCGAGCACAGAGCAGAAGTTTACGATTCCCGTCAGGCGAAGTCAGTCATCTGCTCATAGAAAGACATCCTAGCCGTCTTTCTACAAGGCCGAACCTTCCACCTGGTTTCCCATGTACACAAATATCACCAACGCTAAACTCTTCCATACAATACACAAATCAAGACAACATTCAAGCACCCAATGTACTTGACTCTTCATCTTCCTTACGTAAGCCACCACCTGGTTTTGTGCCAAGTAGCTCGTCTGGTGCTTGCCACTCTCATCGCACCCCTCAAGATATCGCCACATACGCAACTCACCACCTGAAATATCGGCCAAATACCTTGTCAAGCCACTGCCATTCCGAAAGCGATTGTACTTCAGGAACTCTTGGCTCAATTCTCCCGCAAAGAAACGAACCTACGGAATCGGGAACACGTCAAGCGATCTTTGCGGCGATGTCATTCTCAGGAACCGGACCAAGTGAAAGTGGAAACATTACGGAGTCACCATTCAATGCGAGTCTTGCCGATAAAAACGAAAATGTATCTACTGCTTTTCTTGACAGAAATGATGCTTGCATCCCACTCGTAAAGAATGCTGGCAATACCGACAGCGTCTCCTTATTCAACGACGATGACCAACCACAATTTTCTCAGAGCCATCAGCAAACCAAGAAAATACGACGACGAACGAAAACTTCAACGGAAGCACACTCACGACTTGAACAACTTAAAAAATTAGGGACTTTGATCGAAGGGTCATTTCAAGAAGTAGGACGTTTCCGGATGAAGGAACATCGCCACAGACGCTCTCTGCGTCTGCGGTTACACAGAAAACACCACGGAAAACGCCCAGAAAGACGCGGAAGCACTTCTTGCACGCCGCCAGCACACAGGCATCTAGCCGTCACCATCTCTCAAGAAGCACGCATTCTAGATACAATGCGTCTGTCGCAGCCACGACTCGAAATCCGACGCATTAGACATCCAACCTTCCAACGCTACAAGGACTCCCAACCTTGTTCGTTTTTCGCTACTATCCAGGCTGTGTCATCACTATTTTCCACGTCGAATGCAGGGTTATGCTCTCCAGAACGCAACAGCCAACCTCGCCCACCTGAGGTCTCCTAGATGTCACTGGACTGCCTTCCCTGTGAAGATTTTTGTGCAAGTGCATGGAACTGCCGTGTTACATGGAACTACTCTATTTTGTGATATTTTTTCCTATGATGAGACACCACTTGTTCACGCTTCATAGTTTGTAGCTCGCGCATTCTTTCGGGGGGAGGGGGAACCATGTGACGTATGAAGGTAGCGATGGTTGGTAGAAGCCGAGAAGGAAGAAGTGAGAACGAAATAAAACAGGGGGTATGAGCCAGGCCACGTCTCCCATCCATTCTTCATAGCGTCACATATATATATATATATATATATATAGCTTCTCCTTAATGATTTCCCATTTGACTGCCAGCAGCTTGTTTTACCCCTTACGTTCTGCTTCTGTGTTTAAGCTGCAGAGCTTCTGCACGAAGCGTAGTGTTTTGAGTAGAGTGCACCCAAAAGTGGCGAGTTCAAATGCTCTAGGAGGACTCTTGTTAAATACGACAGTTTCTCTTGGAATACTTCAACGGAAAACTTCTTGTCGGCCTTTCTTTCCACTTGTCTTTCTGTCGGCAAGAATGGATCAGTTGCCGGGCCAAAATACAACCACTTCCTCAACGCCCACCAATCTTGATCAGGTGTCTGCGTTTGTGCACATTATAAAATAAAATTCAAATACTAAAAGTAAAGTGTATATGTCTTGTGGCGTGCTTCTTCAAACTGAAAAAGGCATAAATACATAATTCTAAAGGCTAAAGCGCTCGTTACGCTGCGCTGACAATGCGGTGCTATGCTGGAAAAAGTGTGTGCTTCCTACACTTTGCTTACATGCATGCTGCGGACAAAAACGGGCAGAAAGCAGGTGCAAGACGGGGTGAATCGTCAACACGCAACAAAGCATAAACGGAGTGCTCCACATGGATAAGGCGAATGTCGGTCTCTTTGTCTCAGCATGATTGGGGCCCGAAACCCTGGAGAATGCCAACATCCTCTGCACCGATATGTTCCTAGGGTCGACAAGCTACGCAGACATCGAAACGCTCTTCGCCATGCCACTACATGACTCCTGTCCGAAGCCAGTAAGATCCTCTTGCAAGACACGTTACTGTCTACCACCGACTTACAGGAATGCCTTGACAAGCTTCGCAACAAAAATGCAGCTGTCGCCGAAATAGATAACTGGACCACTAGTGCTCTGAACGGTGAATAGTTTCATGAAGAAATCGTGGGTGCTCTGCACTACTACGATAAGATTGTTAGAATCATCTGCCGGCTCCAATCCGCGATGAACGTGCATGCCCCCCTTGCCACTACCCTGTTCGAAACATAGCCGAGGCATGTGGGTACGAGCAATGAACCTACGAACTCTATAGCTGCCGGCTAGGATACTACCGCCCAAAACCTCGTCGATCGCAGTTGGCCAAGGGCATCGGGCTTGCGGAGTCACTCTGCCGAAGCTTCAAGTGTCCGGATTTAGCGGCAAAAAGTGTAAGTGGCGGATGTTCTGGGAGGCCTATGAGGCGACCATCCACACGCACCCGGTTTCACCGGTATCTAGAAACTTATGTACTTTATGACGTACTTAGCTGGCGCTGAAAAGCGGGCCATTGAAGGGCTATGCCTCACAGAAGCTAATTACAACATTCCTGTAAAGGTGCTCACCAAAAGGTTAGGCCGAAAAGATCTGATCGGTGACAACGTTCACAGCCTCCTCCTCATCGAGCCATTCGAGACATCCTCGCAAGTGTCAAGGCTGCGAGATTTTTATGAGCAGATACAGTTAGGAACCAGCTGCTTGGAGAGCGTTGGTGTGCAGTCTTTAGAAATCACACTTGTTTTGCCCCTGGTGCTGATGCGTTCATTGCCAGTGAACCAGACAATCCAGTATCGAAAGCATATGCAGGACGACACAGACACCCCGGACTCTGCAGTTCAACGAAGAGAAAGGAATATAACGCAATCCCGAAGTTCATTTGCGCTCAAGTTCAAAGCTTGGAGAAGACCCGAACGTGGCACGGAAAAACCATTTCAGGGAAATTGTCTGAAGATCATAAGGCAACAGACAACTTCACGCAGTATCATCTCGTTAACGCCATAGCACTGACGCTACATTAATTATCTTTATGTGCCAATTCGTGACCTGTGCAGACATACCCAGGTCACGGGCCAATTCGTGACCTGGACCTGGGCAGACATGCGTTCAATCTGCGGCATACAAAGCCACGTGCCACGTGGTCTACGAGCCACACCATTAGAGGAGAATGAACGCGTCCATTCATGAAGGTAGGGTATGCGTTGCGACACGCCTTTCCCACCTTGTGTCCTGAACTTCTGGAAGGAGATGTCATTTAACTTGCCACTCTGTCTGACTTCCGCATTCCACGTTGCCCGATTATGCTGCTCAGGATTATGAAGGCGTCAAAGCATCATTACTCTCGTACGCCTTTCAGCAAGGGTACCAAAGATACTCGGGTGCTGACAGGATCGCACCTCCTAACCAGCAAATGCCCCCAGTGGTGGTTATAGGATCTTGCAACTGTTGGCCTTGGTCCACCTTGCATGACTCGCAAAAACGTGCTAAATGCAAGCAGCCTTCCCGGCTGTGCAAACAAAGACGGAAGGCTGGCGCCTTGGCCACTCGCATCACTGCTTTAGCTATCGTCTTTATCGCGACTGTGCGTTTGCACCTCAATGACAATAAGGACTGTGTCTTCGCGCTGCAGTGGGCATTCGCCACAGTCACGGATGCGTTTCATGGAAGGAGCTAATCGACAGGCATGTGGACCTCACACTCTAACGGCCATCAAGTCCAGCGCACGATAAAACAGCGGTATCTACATAGACTGAGGAGGCCACCCACCTTAAGGCTCAAGTACAAAGATACTCGAAAAATGTTCATTTCTCTCGCTCTCTACTGGAGTCAAGCAACCCCAACGTGGCCCCGGTAGTATGCTGCTTCAACCGCGGAATTGCGTTGGCAGAAAATGCTCTGAATGCAGGGCACTGGACGCGCGAGAAAGTGGACGCAAGGCGCGGCTTCTCGTGACCACGCAATAAAGAATAAACGAAGTTTTAACTAGAGCAACCAGGTCATTGATCACTTTGTCTCAACAAACATCTTGTCGGATACAATAATTGTGGTTCTGTGTTGTGTCGGTATCTCAAGCAGCTTCAGGAGGAATATCTTGTACAGTATCGTGACACTATTTTAGTGTATCTATGCTCTACCCTGGTTGCATGAGAGGCCTGGTGATTCAACGCAAAAGGCTTGATTGAGCAGTTGAAATTTGATGGTGGCAGCATATATAATAAAGTGCATTTCCTTTTTAAATTGCAGCCCCGGTGTGATCAAGACTACGTTTGGAATGAATCCCGAAAACAACGTGCAGGAGCACCTAAAGGTTCGTCTCTTAAGCTTTATTCTCTCAAAGCTTAACGTATTTCTATTTAGACTCTGAAGCAACGACGCATAGTTTCCCCCCTTTCGCACTTTGCGCGTAGCGCAACTAGCAACAGCTTAAAGCAGGAACGCCCACCTAGATAATGCCACCTGATCGAACGGTCTTACAACCATGTTCATTATGCTCCACCCTTCTAACTCACCTCCGTTTCTCTTGAGAAAAAAAAAAGAATGGCCTTCCTTGTAGCTATAGCGGTCCTATGCCGCGAATCTCCCACTGGGCGGATACTCTTCCCAACGACCATGAACTTCGTTTTGCCCAGCACGAGACCAGAAGCGCGCTGCTACCTATTCACCCAGTTGGTGTCTGGCAGCAGCTTTTCCCGGCCTTCTAAAGTAGAGGGGCATACTTAACTTTTTCAACAAGGCTTTGGTAAATCAGCGTACGTTCAGGGGCATTCGCGGAACCTTATCGTTGTACCCTTTCAAGATAAATACCCATAAACGAGCGAGCGCCAGGTTGTTGTACTCCTCTACCCTTTGGGAAAAATCAGTTGGTTCCCAGTCGGCACAAGGAATCGAACTCGGTACCTCCTGCATTGAAGCGGTTGCTCTGAGCATATAGCCACCAGTGCGGCCGAGTAATAATGGCGGAGCATAGGAGGTTCCAGTCAACGTTCACGAGGTAGACTCATTTCTTGCCTATGTCTGAACACAGAGACGAAGAACACAAATTACATGGCTCGTGGGTGCTCCCTCATTGTAAAGACGCATTCTTATAAAAGCCAAAGAAAGCACATGTCACTATCCTCTTCATCGCACAGCAGATAATCTGGCGCTAATTGCAAGTAGGTCCGATAAAGATTGTCTTCCAGTAAAAAGCAACTAGAACTGGTAAAAGCAGATCAGGTAAAATTTGTTATAGGGCCTTTGGGTACATAGTCAGTATGCGAACGGTCAATCGAGGCATTAGAGAAAGAAGCTCTCACACATTTTTCTATTTATCTAATAAGATGAAAGGCTTTTTTGTGGAAATCCAGACCATCTCGTAAACATTATTGTAGCATTAGGAAACTGATAGGATTTATAGTTTTCAGTTGACGTCCTCATTTTCGTAGCGCCAATGCCTCTTTGTACACTCTCAATAACTTGATCCCGTTGACTTACAGTGTGCTTGGTAGGACGCATGTCACCTTGCGTGCTCCCCAATTTATGAAGCAAGTGCCCAACCATTGTGACAATAATGTGTCAGGAAGCCGCCGTGAAATCCAGGAAGATGGCAAACTTGAAACTGAGAGGAAATTGAGGAAAAAAGTCAGCGGCTATTTTTGCATGACGTTGCTGTTGCAAGGCTGAGGGACGGTGGAACTGTACTTTTTGGTGCGGAGCACTCCAGTGTGTCAACGTGTCTGGGTGCACCTTGGTCTGCTGCTGCTGTCGTATTCGTTTCTTTGCTTGGTGCAACAGCAAGTGGCACCTGCCTCAGCTTTCGCTATGTGACAGGAGAGAGTGAACGGCGCCCGCTGACTATTCAAACGCTCTTTCTGCCATGAATGCTGAACTACCATCTCACACGACATGGTACAAAAATACACCATCGCTCGCGAGAAAACAACTGATGGTGGGAGTGTCTGCCGCCTGGATTGTAGTGCTGGTGAGACACTAATCTTGAACGTAGGTAAACAATAAATCGGCTGGATTTTGCCGTCAAAGTCGGCGTCATCGTGGGCGTCGGCGTCGAGATCATGCCCGTATATATATATATATATATATATATATATATATATATATATATATGAAAACGCACCCTTTTCTATGTACCCTTTCAAGATAAATACCCATAAACGAGTGAGCGCCAGGTTGGTGTACTCCTCTACCCTATACGTATACATATACACACACACACACACACATATATATATATATATATATATATATATGAAAACGCAAGAAAGAAAAAAATCCAGAAATAAACAGTCCTACGCGCAAAATCGAACGTAGAACCACTGCGCCCTGAAAGCGAGGCGTTAACCACTGAGCCACCACAGAGCACATCCATCATTCAAACGGCAAACTACTTATATCTACCACTAACCACTGGTCACGAGCATCTCGGGATGGGGGGGGGGATTGTGTTTTCACCTTTACCAGCAAGATGGCACAATGAGTGCGCGTCGCCACATCGTGCGGCGGCACCCACTCTAATCTGCTACGCGTACTTTGCCCGGCTCAGAGAAGGGGAGCGACGCTCCCTCGTGCGCCCTTATCTCGTGGTAGCGAGGAGGGGGAGGTCATACGCCTTGGTTGGCCTCGGGCTTTACCTGAAACGATTCTGCTGTAGTTACAAGGCGCACAAAGATCACTGCAAATATTGCAGTCTCCGTTTGCAAAAAGCGCGCGCTTTTCAAACACACCAACGTAACAAATGAGATGCTCATTCGCGTGCATCCGTACCTGTTCGTACGTTTTGTGCGTTATGTGTGGGTGAGAAACGCGGGGCATGTTTGGATCTGCTTTCTAGTTTGCGCGTGACCTTTGAATTTCTTGCTATCGCCTTCATTGCTTCGCCTTTCCGGCATAGCTGTGATTTTTGAAATGCAAAGCATTTCTTAGCGAACTTCGGCGACCTTGAATGTATCTATCTATCTATCTATCTATCTGTCTATCTATCTATCTATCTATCTCTCTATCTATCTATCTATCTATCTATCTATCTATCTATCTATCTATCTATCTGTCTGTCTGTCTATCTGTCTATCTATCTATCTATCTATCCATTTAGCCGGCTACGGCTTTTAGCTCTCCCGGCCGTGCCGATAATGGTACCAATACCAAACTTGGTATGGCATAACATGACTGTACAACGAGCATATTTGACTAGTCATATCATGAAAATCATGATATCTATGTCTTGAATGTCATGATTTATATTTTATGGTTCTGCTGCCCTTGCGGTGGTTTCGTTTACTTGACATGTTGAAAAACTAGTATGGTATGACATTATAGCATGGCGAACACAAGCGACAGGTCATAACATGGAAATCATGACATGCGTGTAATGTAACATGACTACATGCCATGATCACGATGTGGTCGTGGCTGTTTCACCAGCGTCACATATACCAAACTTTGTATTACGGTACATGAATGGGTGACGAACGTACGCGATTTGTACAAACATGGTAATCACGAGGTGCGTGTTATATAACAACATGACTACAAGCCACGCTCTTGATGCACTGGTGGCCGTAGCGCTAGCTTAACTTATACTAAATTTGGTATTACGAGACGTGAATGGATGACAAAGGTATGAGACTGGTACAAACACGATAAAATATGAGATGCGTGTCCTGTACCAACATTACCTCCCACATTCTTGATGCGCTCGCGGCCTATTCGCTTGCTTCACTTATGCGAAATTTGGTATTACTTGTCTTTAATGGATGACGAAGTTATGTGACTGGTACAAACATGACAATCGTGAAATGCGTGTCATGTGAGAACATGACTACATGCCACAGTCAAAGCCTCAATACATCTCGACGTGACCCGGCGCACGTGCGCGCCGGCGTTCGTTTCGTCGCGTCGCGCCTGGCGCCGGTGCTGCCATATACTCGCACGCGCGCGCCGTGCTGCGTTGTTTTGAAGCATGCGCGTTTCAGTGCGTCTGGCATCCCTCCGTCATGAAAACAGGCAGACGCAGTGCTGTCTGGGTAATACATCGGCTTGAAAGGCAGCATGTCGCATTTCGCGCCGGTTGTCGTCGAGCCGCGCCGTCGGACGCTGGTCGCTTCGTCACGCCTGACGTCCGTCGCTCTGCCTGATGTGCACGCACGTCAACGTTACGTTGGAGTGCATTGAGCCTTTCATGACGTGCTCGCAGCCATTTTGCTAGCTCGACATATACGAAATTTAGTGTCACGTGACGTCAACGAATGACGAAGGTATATGGCTGGTGCAAACATGTTAATACTGATACGCATGTCGTGTAAGAACATGACAACCCACCACACTCATAGCGTGCTCGCGGCCGTTTCGCAGACTTCTTATATACTAAACTTAGTATCACGTATTTTGAATAGTTGACGAAGGTTAACGACACATTCGAACGTGATAATGATGACACAAAAGTCATTTACGGCATAACTTACCTCCACCTCGTAATGTTGTGCTGATTTTAAATTGACATACCAACCTTTTTCATACGTGCTTCGCATATCATCGATTTCCACTGTACGTAAGTTTTGCCGTTTTTTAAGAAAATGAACACTGCGGGTCTCAGTGTCTAATCGGAACCGCTAGTGGACCTTGGATTTGACCCGTTTTTTACTATCTCAGAAATAGTCGCAGCAAAGTGTAGGACACGTTTTTCGGACCTCGCAAGGTAGCGCTATCATACTTTGTTAGGCGCAAATATTGGGCACATATCTAAGAGCTGTAAATTTCTTTCCTTAAAGTTCCAACGTGAACTTAAGGGCATTCCTATGATCTCGAAAGACATTCAATAAGTATGTTGACCTTGTGTTACAATAATTCAAGAAAAAAAGAATGATAATAATCACAATAATAAACCTTGTTCCCTGCTAGGTTTCAAAAGATGTCTTGTAGTTTTCTATTGACGCGGCTTAAGTACATGTCGCTGAGAACAGGTTGAACTCAGGAACCTATTCAGATAGCACTGTAATGTACGTACACTGTGTTTTTATTTCACAAAAGTATCGAACAGAGAGAACAATAAAATTTCAAATAACAACTCCACTGACAAAGCCCAAATTTCTGTAAACATAAACTCATCATTTTGTTCAGTAGCCGCACCTCTGAGACTGCATAAATGTTGGGCTCGCTCAAGCGAATACAAGACGTCTTCTACATAAATACTGGTGGCCTTGTGGTTACCTGGGTATTTACGAGACAGAAATGGTCTAACTGCTGCGATTTATTTACCAGAAACAGGTCACTGGGGCTAAGCGAGGCAAGCATTTCCCAAAGAAAAAGAGACAC